ATAAAACTGTAATTTTAAGTATAGTGCTTTCCTGAATTCTGTGAGTTGTAGTGAATTACTAAATCAAGAGGGGAGGGGGAGGGAGTCAAGAGAACCTCCTGGAATTATAGCTAGTTGGCCTAAAGTCAGGGTAGATTTACCGGAGACTATATGCTAAAACCTATGGAGTCTAACACCAACTCTGGGTAGCGGTACCAGAATCGAATTGCAGTACATCGGTTGGAGATGAAACATATTAAAACCTCATGTTCGCAGATTGGAAGACTTAACATGAAGATGGCAATACTCGCTAACATAATCTGCAGATTCAATGCAATCTCTATTAACACTTCAGTGGCCTTTGAAATGAAAAGCCACTCCTCAAATCCATATGGAACTGCAGTGGGTACCCAAAATCTGTATGGAGCTGCAGTGCAGATTGACCAAGATTTCTAAATCGTCACGATCTCAGATTTGGCAGTTAATTCTTAGATTTGACACTAAAAGCACAAGCAATCAAAGAAAATTACACATCAATTTAAATTCATCCAAGTTAAAAGTTTGTGCTTCAAATGGGTATACAGTGTTTCTATAGGCAGATGATAAAGGTTTAAAGCTAGAGAAAAACCATAGTTGCACAATACTATGAATACAGCAAATACCACTTTAAAATGGTTAAGTGTATCTCATGTGAATTTTGCCTAAATGAACAAATCTTGAAACAAAAAAAGGAGACAAAAGATAATGCAAATGAAAAGATGTTCTGTTTCATTAGTAGTCATGGTCATGCAAATTAACACCATAATGAGATATTACTAAGTATACTAGGTAAGTAAAAAGTGTGACTATTCCAAATGTAGGAAAAGATGTGGCAAAAATGTGGCAAAGGCGGTGGCAAACATACACTGTTGGAAGTAGACCACTTTTTCATACAACCACTTTGAAAGAATTTGGCATTATCTATGCTAACATGCATATTCTCTATTACCCAGCAATTCCACTCATAGCTAAAACATCCACTAGAATGTTCATAACAGTTTTATTAAGAGTAAAATGCTGGAAACTGCCAATTATCCACATAAAAAATATGTCGGAGAAAATATACTGTGATATAGTCACAAAGGTTATGAAATAGTAGTGTAAATAAACAAGATACATCTAAACTATTCAACATGAACCAGGTGTGGTGGCTCACGCCTGTAATCCCAGCACTTTGAAAGGCCGAGGTGGGTGGATCACTTAAATCTGGATTTTGATACCAGCCTGGCCAACATGGTGAAACTCTGCCTCTACTAAAAAATACAAAAAATTAGCTGGGCTTGGTGGTGCAGCACCTGTAATCCCAGGGGCATTCCTTTCTGGTTCTGGTATGCTTGCCTGGCAGGCGGCTCCAGCATCCAGGTCTACCTCCAGCAGCACATTCAATTTCCCCAGCACCCAGCTCCAGCAGCATGGGTAACTTTACCAGGCTTCTTCAGTCAAGCAGCTTCTTTAGCTCCCAGCTCTGAAAGTACAAGGTGGCCAGCTGCACCCGATAGCCTTGTCTGAAAGTTTTGCAACAAATGCTTCTGATAAGACAACCCAGTCTGCCACAAAGGATGGATTCCTGGCAAATGCTAGAGGGCAGATTTCTAGCAACTTCCACAGGTGCAGCACCACAGCAGGAACAGGACACAGCTAAGGTAAGTGAGGCACTTATGGCACAAAACTTGAGGTGTTCACCCTCAGATTGCCAGCCCTGCACTTATAACCCTGATGATGATTGTCTTAAGAATGAAGAACCCGCCGGGCGCGGTGGCTCAAGCCTGTAATCCCAGCACTTTGGGAGGCCAAGGCGGGTGGATCACGAGGTCAAGAGATCAAGACCATCCTGGTCAACATGGTGAAACCCCATCTCTACTAAAAATACAAAAAATCAGCTGGGCATGGTGGCGCGTGCCTGTAGTCCCAGCTACTCAGGAGGCTGAGGCAGGAGAATTGCCTGAACCCAGGAGGCGGAGGTTGCAGTGAGCCGAGATCGTGCCATTGCACTCCAGCCTGGGTAACAAAAGCGAAACTCCGTCTCAAAAAAAAAAAAAAAAAAAAGAATGAAGAACCCAGGGTGCAAAATTTGAGGCATTCCGTCTCAGGGTCATGCAACTGTAGTTTCATCTGGCAGTGAGTGCTTCTCACTGTCTCACTTGCTCATCTTAGTCCTAGCCCTTTATAGCAATTACTGTCATTCAGTGAGTCACAAACCAAAAAAAACCCTCCCATTATTACTATTACCTCATATTAATAACAGATCCAAGAATAATTATCAATGAATGGATTTTAAACTAGTGGGGAAAAGTTTGGCGACCAGTTATTTACACAGTTACAAAGTATATCTCCACAAATTATCTTTTAATTACAAATAGACAACTACCAATATTATAGTGGAGAAACATGGTAGATATCCCCTTAACAAATTATCACAGTTAACATCTTCAGAAATGGAACAAGTCAGCATCATGTATCTCCTGATATGATGCACCGAGAAGGATACAGTATTACCTTTATGGTATTCCTGCCACAAAATTCATAACCTGAATGCAAGCATGAAAGACCATAAGACAAACCCAACTTAAGGAACTTTTTACAAAATAAGTGGCTTCTCCTCTTCAACAATGCCAAGATCATGAAAGACAAAGGGAGAGCAACTCTTCTACATTAAAGCAGACTAAAGATTAATAAATTTAATGTGTGATTTTAAAGTGGATCCTGGATAGATGAGGAGAGAGGACAGGGTAGTTTGTTAAAAGGAACATCACGGCCGGGCGCGGTGGCTCACACCTATAATCCCAGCACTTTGGGAGGAGGAAGACGGGTGGATCATGAGGTCAAGAGATCGAGACCATCCTGGCCAACATGGTGAAACCCCGTCTCTACCAAAAATACAAAAAAATTAGCTGGGCATGGTGGCACATGCCTGTAGTCCCAGCTACTCGGGAGGCTGAGGCAGGAGAATTGCTTGAACCCGGGAGGTGGAGGTTGCAGTGAGTGAGCCGAGGTCACACCACTGCACTCCAGCCTGGTGCCTGGTGACGGACTGAGACTCTGTCTCAAAAAGGAACATCACTGGGATGAAATAAAATTTTAAATATGGGTTAGATATTATATAAATGTTAAAATTTTAATAACTATACTGTGGTTATATAAGAGAATACTCTTATTGTTAGGAAATAAAGGGCAAAATATCTGCAACTTAGTCTTAAATGGTACAAATAAAATGTGTGTTGTGTGTTGTGTGTGTGTGTGTGTGTGTGTGTGTGTGTATAGAGAGAGCGAGAGAGAGAGATCATTTTCTTTTATTCCTGGCCTCAAATACATTTTTGGAAGTGGGAGATATGAAAATTAGATATAGATTTAGATATAAATATAGATATTTATTTTCTAATATTTTTATGTTAATGACATCTGATATAATCAAGCCTTCTTTGCATGGTATCTTTCACTCTTCTTCCTTATCACGTTTCATTTTTCACTACCCTGTGGGAGGCCGAGGCAGATGGATCACCAGAGGTCAGGAGTTCAAGACCAACCTGGCCAACATGGTGAAACCCCGTCTCTACTAAAACTACACAAATTAGCTGGTCCTGGTGGCATGCACCTGTAATCCCAGCCACTTGAAAGGCTGAGGCAGGAGAATCATTTGAATCCAGGAGGTGGAGGGTAACAGAGCAAGACTCCATCTCAAAAAGAAAAATAAAAAGAACTGTGTCACTTTTATGTAGTCTTTTGTGAAAAAAAGAAGCAAACGAATGTCTATTCAAACAAAGTTAGAAAACAAACAATATCTACACTTATGTGGCTCTGGGATTCATCCATATGTACTAAAGCTCTAATGAAAGGCAAAGAAATGGCCATAGTGATTATCATCACAAGGGTACAACGTTGTTTGTGGCTGTGGAGAAGTATAGTAGAGGCTTCTTCAGTGATGGCTGTATTCTATTTATTGATCTGGGTACCCCTTACATGGGTCTTTATAATTACTTGTTAAGCTGCACAAGTGGGTCCCATTTCTGTAACAAATTTGAAGATGGAAAAAGCCGTAGGCATTCAAGTAAATGTTATGCATCTCTAAAAATATTTTCCAAATATACTATATGGGAAAATATTTAATTTTAAATGAAAATGTAGGATAGGTCGGGTGCAGTGGCTCACGCCTGTAATCAAAGCACTTTGGAGGCCAAGGCGGGCAGATCACTTGAGGTTGGGAGTTCAAGACCAGCCTGACCAACATGGTGAAACCCCATCTTTATTTATTTTTATTTTATTTTTATTTTTTTACTCAAAACCCCATCTTTAAAAAAAAGAAAAAAAGAACATGTAGGATATAAAATGATAAATGCTACATGAATTTAATTATGTTTTATGTGCGTAGCTAAAATATAAATTTTCTTCATTAGGAATTTCTGTACTTTTTAAATTAAGTTAAAACAATCATGTTTTACTTATACAATCGGAAAGAAATCATATTTTTTAAAAAGACAGCATAAGGAAAAATTAAAGCCAAGTGCAGTGGCTCACACCTGTAATCCCAGCACTTTGGGAGGCGGAGGCAGGTGGATGGATTGAGCCCAGGGGTGTGAGACCAGGCTGGGTAACATGGTAAAGCCCCATCTCTACTAAAAATACAAAAATGAGCCAGGCTTGGTGGCACACATCTATTATTCCAGCTACTTGGGACACTGAGATGCAACAATTGCTCGAGTCAGGGAGGTGAGGCTGTCGTGAGCTGAGATTGCACCACTGCTTTCCAGCCTGGGCAACAGAGCCAGATTCTGTTTCAAAAACAAAAGTAAAGAAAATTTAAAACTGACAAATTAGTAAGATAAAATCAGGTGTGGGAGGTGGAGATTGAAGACATCACATTTTCTCAATAGGGAAACTCCAGGGATCAGGTCATCTGACAGGCAAGAATTTTCAAGAAAAGGAAAGAAACTATGTCCTAACCAAGAAAATGTGACTTCAGGAAACAAGAGGAAAGGACAAGCTACCTTGCAGGTGCCTTGTGGATGTTCAACAGCCATTCTGTACTCCTCTCCTGAGGCCTCTATCCAAGCAGGGCAGAGCTGAGAATGGAGAAGGGAGTCAGGAAACATGAGGTTCTTCTGAGAGGGAAGCCAGTTTGACTATGTCAGAAGTTATCTTGGCTCAGCCCCTATTGCCCACCACCTACATAGGAAGGTCAGAGAAGTCTAGGGCATCCTGCTCAATCCAGGTATCCCAGACAATGGCAGGGTCAATGCCCTTCTGGGCAGAATCTGTTTCTGAGCTCACAGAGGTCTCCAGTGGCTGAAGTCACAAAGAGAGACAAAGACTCCCCATACCCACATTGGCTATACGGACACATAGTCACACAAACTCGTTCACTCACACCATGGGGACATAAATGTCACAGGCACCCCAAACCTAAATACAACAGGCTGTGTGATATTGTGCTGGCCTAGAGCCAGAACCTGAGCAACGCCATTTTCATAAAATGCAAAACTGTTTTTAAATAAGTTGCAAGGGCTGCCCCATTCTCCTCACAATAACTGCTGGCCTCAGCTTCTGTAAATAGAACTGCTAGTTTGTTCTGCAAACTATGTAAAGCTGCTTACCTTTTCTTATCAGTAACTGCCAAAATTGCTAGCCTTTGCTTACCGGTAATAACTAAAATAAGCAGCCCAGGCTAATTCCATCCTGGCCCCTGTGACTTGTAATAAGTAACTAAGATCTGTGACTTCTATCAGTACCCAGACAATGTGTAAACAAATGCTTATCTTGACTTCTGTAAACCACTGAAGTAACAAACAGAATGACAAAAGTCCCCTGGCCCTTGGAATGCCCGGAGACCCCCACCCTCGTCTCCGCCCAGGGGGTGAATTACAAAATCCCCTGGCCCTTGGAATGTCTGAAACCTTTTCATCCCCATCCCCGCTCCTCACCCCCACTCCCAAGGTGGTTTTTCGGGTATAAAAAGTCTTGGCACCCTCCTTTGGACGCCACAGGTTGGAGAGACGAGAGTCCTCTGTGGTCGCTGGCATAATAAACGACCCTGCAATCTGGCATACTTCTGTCTCGGTGCTAACTTTCTAGGCTCGGTCCAGTACAACAGCTGCACACGGTCACACACACACACACACACACACGACATGTGCAGACAGGGGCACAACCAGAGTCCGTGGGCATCTCTCAAACTCCCAGGGACATACACATTGGGGTCACAATGACAACAAATTCACACGCACCCTACATCAAGAATATCACCAACATGCGCGCGCGCGCGCACACAAACACACACACACAAACACGGAAGCAGCCACAAACCTCACAGTTAAGGCATACTGCACACAGTTCGGCAAATGGTAATAAACACACACACACCCCCAAGGGAACACACAGTCACAACCGCGGCCCAGGAACCGCACACTCACAAACGCGGTGCCCAACGCAGTCACAATTAAACTCCAATCACACCCGCACAAACATGTCCTCCTCCCCGCCCTCACAGTTGCACACCGGGTCGCACAGACACACGCCCACCACAGAGACATCCACAGCCACAACCGTACTCTTCACAGTTGCTCCTTAGTCTGCTCCCCACGCAGCCCACACAGATCCGGGATTCCTGTCGCGCCAGGATCCAAGTCGCCTCACTTACGCCTGCTCGGGTCGGGTCAGCTCCGCTTCTCCGGAATCCAAACAAGCAGACCCCAGCTCTCTCACAAAGCCCGGAGGCCGTTCGCTCAGACCCGCGGGAAGACCCCGCCCACTCGGCAAAAGACAATTTAGTTATCGCGGGATACAGCCATGGGCCTAGAGGCTTCTGGGAAGTGTAGGAGCGAGAGATTCCCGAGGTACAGCCGGGCCATCCTGATTCCGGTGGCGCGGACTCTGGCACTAACAAAAGTATCTCTTTGAGCTAAGCCGCCCATCAGAGACTTCCAGGAGTCTCTCCTGACAAGGACGCCCTAGATCAAGCTTTAGTAAGGCTCCTCTGAGCCCCTTTTGTTTGGCCAGGCCTCCTCCATGGCCTGTGAACCCCACTTCGGCAAGAATCCAACTAAGCCAGTTCAGCAAGAATCCCCCCACCCTTGATACTGAACTTCCTCTTAGTAATTTGCCATCCTTTAACTCCTTCACCCAGCCCGTTGGCTATAAATCTCCAGCTGCTATGGTATTGGAAGTTGACTATTGCAAGTCTTCAACCAAGTCCTGCTTGCCTGTTTAAGTCATCTGGTGCAAGTTTTCTTTCACCCCGCCCAGCCACAGAGGGTGGCTCCCAGGTTTCCGCCCCTTCCCCGGGAGACAAGCTGGGCCGCAGGGTCTCCTGGGAAACGTAGTCCAAGCCTCGCCGGGGACTGGATGAGTCCAGCCAAAGTGGGCTGCGTCCTCTGGGTCATGAGGCGGGAGTCTGGCCGCAGTGACCAAACTAACTGTTCCCCGGAGGCTGCTCGGAATTCCGCTTAACGTTTGAAGCACGCAGACGCTCTTGAGGCGGGCAGCTGAGGAGCGTATGGAGGACCCGGGAGAGCGCGCCCCAGTGTGGGACCTGAGCGTCTGGGACCGAACCAGGAGTAGGAGTCTGAAGGGGACAAATCCGCGATCCCAGCCATGCATGTCAGACTGGGTAAAGGAGTGTATGTGAGACCGCAGTGGGACTCCTTGTGCTGCTGGGATGAGGAGTGTCTGGGTAGTTGAGTGAAAGAAACTGCGTGCGGGTAAGATTGGTGCGTGTATGAGAGAGAGGTGAGGTCAAGATGTGTGCAGCTTTGGAGATGGAGAGGTCATATTGAGTGTGTGCAGGTGGGGGGCAACATCGCGTATGAATCTGTGTATAAGTGTGTAATCACCTAAATGTGGGTCACTGCATGGGTAGCTGATACTGTGACTGTGGAGGAATCTGAACCTCCAATTCTCATTTTATTTAAATTGTGATAATAAGGTTGTATCTTCCTGGAGCATCAGTTTTAAAGGGGGAAAGCTTCATAACTGATATAATAACATAGCATTTTTATGTAAACGTTTAACATTCAGACATTTCTTCTGAACTAGAATACAAAATCAGTTATGAGTACTCAAAGTAGTTTTTGTTTTTTTTTTTTCTTTTTTTTTTTTTTTTTTTTTTGTTTTTTTTTTTTTTTTTTTTTTTTTTTTTTTTTTGAGACGGAGTTTCGCTCTTGTTACCCAGGCTGGAGTGC